CAGCACCGGTGTCGGGTGCTCCATCGATGGGCGCACAGTAAACAGCATCAGTTATGCGGACGATATGGTGCTGCTAAGTCCTTCGGCCGCCGCTCTGAGACGACTGATCTCGATATGTGAGGAATATGTGCACATGGCCTCATCTACAATGTCCGCAAGAACGAGTTAATGGTATTCCAAGCCAGGGGTCGCAAGATAGAACATGTTCCTCCTATCAAACTAAATGATGTTGCCTTACTAAAGGTGTCGTCTTTCAAATATCTCGGACATGTCGTAACTGAGGACATGAAGGACGACAAAGACATTGAAAGGGAGCGAAGGGCGATGGCTGTCCGCTGTAATATGCTGGCTCGCAGGTTTTCGCGATGTAGTACAGATGTTAAAATCATGCTCTTTAAGACGTATTGTCAAACTTTGTACACATGTAATCTGTGGGTTAGCTACACGCAGCGGGCTCTCAGCGCCCTTCGTGTACAATACAACAATAGCCTTAGGATGCTGTTGGGGCTTCCCCGCCACTGTAGCGCATCCGAGATGTTTGCGCAAGCGCACACTCACGGCTTTAACGCCGTGCTGCGCAAACGGATAGCTTCGCTTTTACGCAGAGTGCGGGATAGCCCCAACACCATACTAAGAGGCCTTAGCGACAAGCCTGACTGCCCGATAGTGCGACACTGGGTACGTGCACACGTCGTATATTTACCGACGTAATATTTGTTTTTCTAATAACTAATTGTAATATTTTTCCAATATGTGTTACCTACTGTTACATGAAATAAATAAATAAATAAATATATACACTTTGGTAATTTTTATTTATATAATTCTATAATTAAAATATGATAAATACGAAAAAAAACCAACCAACCCGCACTTGGCCAGCGTGGTTGACTATGGCCTAATCACTCTTAACTTAGGGTAGGCTCCGAGCCCCTCGGTGGGGACGTATAGTGAGCTGATGATGATGATGATGACGAAAAAAAACTAACCAAGAAGTTGTTTTACTACTAAAATTTAGACAAAATTTTAATTGACGAGACATTGTATAAGTAATTCGTTTTAATATAATTTTGATTGAATATTTTAATATTCAATGGTTCGAAGCATTTTTTTTCAGCCTGGAATATATTTTTCTTTAACGTTGGATAGTAAAACAAGAGTTAAAATAAACATTGTTAAAATAAAGGTTTGTTAAAAGGAACTGGGGCACGGTTAAGGCTGTTCCGTGGAATATAAATGACGTACGTGCATTAGCTCTTTTTCTCTCGTAGGCTTCTAAATTGTCGTAAATGTCATTTGGAGTAGCTTTATCATTTCATATAAAATTACTAGCTGTCGCCAACGACTCCGTCGTCGCAGAACTAAAAAAAACTTTATTAGTAGCCTGTGTGTTCTTCTAGACTATCTTCTACATATATATGCCAAACATCAGCGAGGTCCATCTAGCCGTACTGGAGTTACCTTTAAACAATCATTCATCTGAACATTCGCATTTATAACATTGGAAAAGATTTTTTTTTAAATCTTTAAAAGTGACATTATTTATTTAAATAAATAAATTATGTATCTACTTTGAAATCTTTAGGAAATATGTAATTGATTATATCGTAACCATTTAGATTTTAAAAACGAGATTATTCAGTTAAAGTGGGACTGATTTGAATGGATATAATTATATAGCACACTTATATAATAACAATAGCACATTGTATATAAAGTCAATGACTGGAAAAAAATAATCTAAGCATAAATCTAAAAGATAATTATGATTACTAAAATGAACAAAATCAAACTCTGTTCATTTGAAAAAGATACATAGCCAACGTAACAGCACCAAAAGTACACTCTGTACCAAAAAAAGGGAGACAAAAATGAAGTGGACATATTGCAAGATAGTGTTAATCTGTCTGATGACAATCTTCTTGGTTTCATATACATGTTGTCAGGAAGAGACAACACCAGAAACAACCACGATGAAGCAGGAAGAAGAAGAAGAAGAGGAACCGCAAAAGAAAAGCTGTTCCATTTGGTGTTGGATACAAAAAATTGTTATGTTCGTAATATCACAATTGTTAAGTGGATAAATTAAAAAGAAAACTTTCTTCATTGTTTTGCTATTATACATTGACTACAGCACTCTCAGGGTTTCTGAGACCTAAATCTAGTATGTATAGTAGATTTAGTGTGAGGAATTTATAACAGTGTTAGAGCCCGCTTTAACATCTTCGCACGAATTGGCCCGGCTCGCCCGGTGAAATACCACGACCACACAGAAGACAGGCGTGAAGTGGAACCAATTACGCGTTTCGTCTGATGAGTGTGCGTCTCGGAGGCCTAATTTAGTCTACTTCCCCTTCCAACCCTTTTTTTTATAAGGAAGGGATGGGAAGTGGAAAGAAAATATTTTCTTTCTGTGCATCCTCACCACCGTCGATTAAAGGTAGGCAACGTATATGCAATTGCGTATGTCTATGGGCAACGGAAACTTCGCTATCAGTGACTTCAGGTGGCCGCTCGCTCGTCTCCCACCTTGTGATATGAAAAATAAGTTCCTATTTTAATCCTATATAAAATAAGTAATTAGAGTTAGACATTTTAGTATTTTAATCTTGGGTTACATACCCTCATCACAACATACTGATAAATTCCTTTTCTCAACTGAAAATGTGTTCCTGAAAATTTGTGGTTAAGTAAAGGACGAGATTTGTTGTTTGATTAAAAGCTTTGTGGTCTAAAGCACTTTATCTTACATCTTTTGCGGACGAAACTCCAATCAATACAACGTTGTTACAAGGAAAATTCTGTTGCTATATCTCCCGTTAATTTGGGGAACATAAAAGAATCTCCATTCTATTCAATGCTATAAGTAAAAATTAAAAGGAAGATGACGTAAAACAAATGAAATAATTGCTGCTAAAAGAGATTTAGAACGAAGTATCATTATAACTTTTAAAAATAGAATAAATTTAATAGTTTTGTATCGGGACGAATCAATTATAAACACGATTACTCCTTTATGCTTAGCGAGTATGCATTAAAATTACAATTTTACTGATTTTAATTTAGTTTATTTAAAGTTTTAAGGATTATAAGACATATTTAAAAAAAGGGTCTTGACAGACAGACGGACGGACAACAAAGTGATCCTATAAGGGTTCCGTTTTTTTCCTATGAGGTACGGAACCCTAAACATGACTTTCAAAGTTCCAAAAATGATAACAAACGTGTCTACTAGTAACATATCATTTTCTACATTACTGAGATCCAAGCATCTACTGCTTAACAAAGCACACATACAAACATATTATCTTTCATTCTTTTTGAGCACACATATCATTATATAGAGAGTTTTCGAAATTGGAATCCCCCTTTAATACCTCCCTAACATTTTAAAATGCAAAAATCATCCAGTTTCAATTTTATTATAACAATATTTTATAAAGATGTGTACAGTCGTTAAATATCTTGGCCTTCTTGCACACGTCCTGTTTGTGTTGTGCGCCCTCAGCACTCTCCGCGCATGAGCTGCCACTGCTGTCGCTCATCAGCTTTCGTTGGTCCAGCTGGTGTGCCTGGAGTACTCGCTTACTGTAATATTAACTATTAATAAGCATTTAAACACCCTGTGGACTTGATCTTATAAAACGTAACAGCCTGTAGCAGAGAACGAACAGACTGTAGATATTACTATTCTATTAACTAGAGATACACGCAGCATTACCAGATGGATGACATACAGTCTGCAGCAGCCTTATGAAAGCTAAGATCTTCGTACACAAGACAACGTAAATCTTTGAAATCTGGTAATTTTAGTCGCTAAGCGACTTACGCAATGCTTACAATATTGTTTTTATTGAATAAGCTAGCACTTGACCACGATCCCACCTGATGATGTGGTCGAAAGATAGTACGCGCTTACTTAATGCCTATAGTAAATAGGGAAATACTGGTTCGATTCGTCAATCAGTTTATTCTTGTTTTGATAGTTACTTCAGTTAGTAGTGTTAGGTAGAAAATCGGACACTGTGCCGGTGTACTGTCGCAACACTAGCCTTACTAAAATGTCGATCTTTATGTCCCCTCACTAATCATTCTGACATTTGACTTTGTAACGAAAGCACGTCATTCACGCCAAAGGATTCTAGCTAATAATGTCTAAAAGTATAGATAGATTTATTTTAATTACTAACTAAAACATTACCGGTACGCTTCTAAGTTGATGACGCCGTTCGAATTCATAATACCGAACTTCTTAAGTACGCAGTATATGATACAAGCTTCATCCGACTCTTGGAATTCAACTCGCTTGCCTTTCGGATACATTTCGCTAAGACACTGGTCGGCGACCACATCAGAAGCCTTGTCATGAGCGTACATCACTGATATGCGAGCCTCTATCCTTGTTAGGAGCAGGAATGCGAGTAAGGTCTTTGCTGGAAAATAAAGTTTCACTTATCATTTGCTTTATTGTGCAATAGTTAAAGATTAAAACGCCAAAATCTTGTAGCATAAACTTGGCTCAATCGTTTATGCTACAAGATTTTGGCGTCTTTCTACATAGAGTTACAGTACGTCTGTGCGAAATACTTATAACAGTAGAGTCTCGCATCGATGGTGGCAGACAGATTCTTGTTATTAAAACGTACTCAATGTATGTTTGATATTTTGTAGAGGCTTCGTATAATGTTTATTTCATTTGGAAATCATGCGTGACTGTATTTCACATCGTTATGTTAATCAATATACACATTGCTTGAACAGTTTCAGTAGTTATATCTTTCGTACTTTATTAAGGCAGACTGTCCTTTAACACAGAACCAATTTTAATTAATTGTAAGGAAATCAGCGTGAGATGACAATTTTGTAAGCCGAAGTAGAATTATAATTCTCTTCATTTGTCATCTTAACCCTCTTACTTAAATTGTCTTTAACCTAATTTGAAACTTTAACGATTACAGAAGTTCTTAGACATTCCAATAGTTAAATATAAGTTTACATTTGTCACTTAAGATTTTTTTTTATATCAGAAGGCGGCAAACGGGCGAGCGCCGTCCTGAAATCGCTGAAATAGCGAAGTGACCGTTGCCCATAGACATAAGCAATTGCATATGCGTGCCTACCTTTAATCGATGGAGGAGAGGATGCACAGAAAGAAAATGTCTTCCCTTTCCATGCATCCTCTCATCCGGAAAGTCCACTTCCACTTCCCATCCTTTCCTTATAAGAAAAAGGGTGGGAAGGGAAATAGGACTAAATTAGGCCTCCGGGACGCACACTCATCAGACGAAACGCGGAATTGCTTCCACTTGAGGCCTGTCTGTGTGGTCGTGGTATTTTACCGGGCGAGCCGGGCCAATTCGTGCGAAGATATTAAAGCCGGCACTACCACTGTTAAAATGATAATAGAATATTTTGAGATAGACTTAAGAATAAAATGAATAGAACTGCAACCAATGAACATGTAACATAATTTTAAACATCATACACGTTAATACAACGATGTATGAATGTGGATGATGTTCGAGAGTGGAATAGATATCAGTCAGCCTATTAGAGCTATGGGCGTTTTGTTACTGACAATATGTATTTTATATTATTGCAAAGAATGAATGGTATAAAAATTTATTTTAAAAATTATAAATAAAATATTAAACATCAAATTTCTTAATATTAATCATCAGCATCTTTATAAGATATGACATATAATTGTGTACAATCATTAAAAACTTTAGCCTTTTTACATACATCATGATCTAAATTCATTCCGTTTATATTTTGAGCGCAAGTCTCCCCAACATCAGAGATTAATACCCTAGGATCATTTCTATGGAACGCTCGGACTCTTTTATAATAATTTTGAATATTAATAACGCCATCATTGGACATGATACCGAATTTTTTAAGTACACAATGAATAATGCATGGTATATCATTTCTATCTATACGTAGTGGGTATTTATATAAATTTCTTGGATACATTTCTAATAAGCAATCGTTGGTTACAAGGTCACTTCGTTTATCCTGCGCGTACAATATTGAAAGTGATGGCTCTGTATCCATACTTTGTGAAAAGTATTTGCTTTTGTAACCGTTGACGTTTAACACTAAGATATCTAAAAGCGTGATGATAATAATCGCTGAAAATTATAATATAATTAAATTTTAAATAAAATATTTTAACCTTTTGATGTTGGATTAATTGAAATATCGATACGAAAAATTTTTACAAAATTATAAAACAAATAGAGGTAGCCATTTAAATTCAATTTTCGAAGACAATTTTCAAAGGTTAGTTGTTTAAATTTGTTTATACTAACAGGAAATTAAACTTTGAGTAATAATTTACTAAGTGTTTGTTTCATGTTTAAAATTAAGATGAAAAGGTCTTTATATTGATTTGAATAGAGTATTTTGTAGAAATAAAATAAATATGTATACTTACGTAGCATGGTTGAAAATATCACTATTTCATTTAGAAAAATATAAAAAAGGCCATTGTTCCGTACGGTATATCCTAATCGACTGATATTGTTGACTTTGGTCGAGGCCTAGGTGATATTTGTTTCCGCAATTCCGACAAAAATGTTTTATATAGTCGTTGGGTTTTCTCTAAACAATCGGGTATTGTTCGCGCACAAATTCTGATAAAACTCAAATAAGAACGTTAAAAGAACAAAGTAATCGATTCCGAGCAGGTGCCTTGTAATAAAGCTATAATACTTGCGTTACACTTTTGTTTGTCGAAAGATATTTTGGATTATTTTTATAATGTTTTTGTTTAACAAAAATTGCGTACTGTGAGAGTTCTTTGCCGAAACATAGACATATTCAAATATTAATTTTTACAATGTTATTATAAAAAAAAAAACAGAGAAAATGTTTTTTTAAAAACGTTTCCATACTGAGAACACATGGTAATAAATCTACAGTTTTAATGAACGGTTTAGTGTTAGTTAAACTTTACATTTATTATTTGTAGAGGATGGCGTATTAAAAAAAAACTTTGTTTTATCCTCGTTAATATTTTTTATTTTTACTTATTTCCTACAACATATTATCGTTGTTCGTCTTTCCGTCATTCAGTCCTTCGACTGCTTTTTATGTTTTAGTGCAATTTAAAACGTCGAACAAAATTAAATAAAATAATATAAAAGAGACTCTACATATATCTAATTATATATCTTCCTTATTCAATTATTCACAATATATCTGTAAATATAGTATCGGATGATTGATAACAATGTTCATAAAATACTATGATAATTCTTTAGCCTTTATTAGCTATCACTTTCAAACATTTCTAGCGAGTAAAAAGTGTACGCTAAAGTTTAATTGGAGCAAATATTTATTATTAAAAAGCAACACGAGTATACAAGTTGCGTAGTCATTGTGTGCTGTATTGTATACATTCAAACTCTGGCGGCCTTTATTAATGTTTTCAACACAATAAATTTAGTTGTTTACTTAAGTAAAGTGTGTTATATTCATGCTTGTTACTTTAAAGCGGGATTTCATTGTGGAAACAGACATCGAAGTACCTAAGTCTATGTATATTCAGGCAATACATTCAAATTTGAGACTAAACAATGTGTCTCTGTTCCTGTTCGTTTGTAAAATTACGCTCCGTGTAAACCCACCTTTATTAGAAATGTAAGCAGAATAAGTTTGTATGTAAATAGAACAAAGGGCCGACGTAGACCGTACCTTTATAAATTTCATTCTAAAAGAAACTCAACGTTGCCGAAACGAATCGAAATAGAGAGAGGTATTTTCTACAGCGGATATAACATAGAATCTACTTCTACATTTTCTTAAACGAATAATTTTACTTATACGTAAGATTTACATTAAAAATCGTGGAATACCTTGTTTGATTTAGTACAATAATCTTCAACCGATCTGACGTAGTTTTAGTGAATTAAAAGTAGTCCGAAGTTGTTGTTGGAATTAATAGGAAGAGTTTATTTAAAAAAAAACACGTCTATGTATATGACACTCCAGAGAGTAATGTCAAGGTTTCACTTTTTGAAATGAGTTAAGCTGTTTCTATAATAGGAAGTGACAATGGACATAGGACTTTAAGTAATGACGTCATTACATGACGTAATTACTTAAAGTCCTATGTCCCCGTAGAGGGTGTCCACAGTGCGCCACCAGTTCGCTCTATCTTGGGCACTGCGTTTGGTTTCGGGCCATGTCAGCCCGATTGCCTTCATGTCGGCAGCTACTGAGCGCCGTCAAGTTGGTTTAGGACGGCCACAATGTAATAATTTAAATTAATTTACGGCTATTTGATGTGATTTTAACATCAAAACAGATTGAGCTTTAAAATACAATAGAAAAAATAGGCTTACACTGTAGAAATTCATATACCATGTTGGAATACAAAAATAGTTAAAAATAAAATATATTGCTTTGAATAGAATATTTGAAATTTAAAAAAAATATTGTAAATATCGTAGCTATTGTAAGGCAACATGGTCTATTACTTCGATATGAGTTTGAAATTGAATTTACAACAACTACTTGTCGTGGGACGAAGCCAATGTGCTCGAAATATTGAATATTATTGGAAATAGACTTGAAATTGCCTTGCTTATGTCACCTGGCAGTTGTTAGTTTCGGTAATTAGAAAACTAACAGTAAATAATATACTGTCAAAAAATATTTTTAAAAGCATAAAAAATATTGATCTGAAATTTTTATATTCAACTTAATAAATACAAAAAGCAAAAAATGCGAGATTTTCAACATAAAGTTTAAAACGTGCCAAGAAAATACATTGAAATGTAATATAATTAAAAACTAAGTTGCTCAAAGAATTTCATAACGTATCTATGTGCGGTACTTATTATCAGAATTAGTTGGTAATTTAACAAATATTGGAGCGTCGGTGGCTCAGGGGTTTAAGCACTTGACTTGTCATCTGCAGGTCATTGGTTCGAATCCCGCCATGTACCAATGTGTTTCGATTTTCGATTTACATATGTACAATAATCCGACGTTCTTACGGTGAAGGAAAACATCGTGATGCACTTGCACATATCTGAGAAGAAATTTAAAGATATGTGTGAAGTCAACCAACACTCACTTGGCCAGCGTGGTTAACTATGGCCTAATGATCCCTAACATAGGGTAGGCTCTGAGCCCCTCGGTGGGGACGTATAGTTAGCTGATGATGATGATTTACAAATGTAATTAAAATGTAATACATTATAAACTTTCATGAGACTTCATTATAAACTAAATATAAAAGGGTGTCTATTCGGTGTAGACAGCAAGATATGTCAATTTATTCTTTTGGTTTCCAATACAAAATAATAAAAGCGGTCAAAGTAGAAATTGAAACTTGGAAAATACTATTTCTATATCAAGAAAGATGTCTTCGTTGAGAACGAGAAACAACGGAAGAAATAAATTGTTACTTAATATT